CCACCAGGCTGCCTGTCATCGCCAGAACATTTGACAAAGAACACTTGCTGCTCTCCCCTTCTGGGGAGCAGAATCAGGGACACTGCTGAGACAGGTGCCCAAGCGGACCCCGCCTCTCCCCTACCCTCGCCTTTAGCCCTGTCACTCACTCTCATTGCTGCCCAACTCCTGTGCCTTGTTTTTCTTCTTTCTTCTAATCGCCAAGTCCAAAAATCAAAGTTCGTCCAACACGTCTTTACTACATGGCCTCTTCCACGTATGGCCTCATTCTAGGTGCTCCAAGGAAGATGATAGCATGACCTGGTCAGCCTGGCTTCAAACCGAGCTCTAACACCTCACAGCTGTGGGACGCTGAGGACATTTCTCAGCCCCTCCGTGTCTCTTCTGTCAGATAATAATACCTACCTGACTGCTTTGCTGTAAGATTCAATTTGTTAATATAGACAAAGTGCTTAGAAAGGTGCCAGGTGCATGGCAAACACCTTACAAATACTAACTGTCAGGAAAGACATGGTCCCCACCCCACACAAAGCCTTCCTGACAAGTGGAGAGACAAGATATGAACCCTCAAAACCATTAAAGAACAAAACAAATGCCTACTGACTTCGTGAAATGAACGATTTGACTATTAAATGCAAGAGAATGGCTAGAAAGGTAGGTATTATAATAGAGTGTCCAGCAAAGGCCTCCTAGGAGAAATCCAGCTGAGTAATGAGTTTAAATAGACTATGGGGAAACAGAGTACAGGGAAGAGCACTTGGGCCTGAGTGGGCTTGGGGATGAAGCTGACCACCAATAAGAGCAGAGGCTGAGCCCTGGTGGGGGGATATGTTGGGGAGACCGTTGATCCAAATTTTCTCTGCAGTTAGAAATGGAATTAGACAAATCCTGAGTGGTCAGGGGTGGAGCTGGAGACTGAGAGACACTCAGATAAAGGTGATACTCAATCCGCAGAAGTAGAACAACTCCCCAAGGGAGAGAAAAATGCTGTAGGCAGAGCTTGAGGATGCACTGACTCCAAGCTTCAAGGCCACCAAGAGTCAGGTTAGAGATGGAGCGAGGAGCCACGCTAGGGCTGATGATCTGTGACCCTTGGAAAATAAGTCTTTTATGAAACATGAGGACTGGGGGTGCAGCTCCCTGAAAGGTACTTGGCTAGCATGCCTGAGGCCCTGCATTTGATTCCCAGAACTTCAAATGAAAAAAAAAAGGAAAGTATAATTTTTTTTTCAGAACTTAAGATCCCTGTTGGTTACATTCTATGGACCATACAAATCGGTTTTCTGCCTAAGAAATGTCTCCATAAAGTTCTGTGGGTTTTTTTTTAACCAAATTGATACATTTCTGCAAAAATACTTTTGATTTTCAACCAACTCTCCAAATATTATATTTGTCAGTCTCCACCTAATTTAAGGCTCCCACCTCAGATGGTACAAAAGTGGTAACGGATGTTAGAAGTTTCAAAGAGGCTACTGCCAAACAGAAGCTGGGAAACAGCTAATCTGAGCTTCAGTCAATAGCATTCAAATTAGAAGTGGGCCACAAGAGCTCAGCCATGTGTCATGATCTGCCCCCAGTGGCAAGAGCAGGCACATTTGAGCATGCCATGATCCCATGTGCGTCTCAAGCTATTCAGGCTCACCGGGAAGAGCAACTCTGCCTTTCAGAGATCATGTCCCCTCTGCAGAACAGAGGACACCAGTGGTCTGACGGGCCCTCGAAGGCACAAATTATTCTGTCTGCAAACGGCGGTTACCTCCACAGATTCTCAAGGGCTGCCAAGGTTAGGTGTTTACATTTTTCAAAAACGAACAGAAAAGCAACCAGTATTAACAGTGATTACATCTGAGTGAGATCACAAAGGCCTGTACTTCCTCTACACGATTTTAATATTGTCTAAAATAGATATACAGTAGTCTCCCTTTCCTTTTTTTTTTTTTTTGGTACTGGGGATTGAACTCGGGTCCTTCCGCTTGCGAGGCAGGCGCCAGAACCACTGAGCTAAATCCCCAGCCCAGTCTCCCTTTCCTTATCCAAGATGGATATGCCAAGACTCGCAGTGGATCCCTAAAACTGCGGGTAGTAACAAACTCTGTATCTACTGTTTTCTCCCATATATATACATACCTAAGATAAAGTTTAATTTATAAATCAGGTACAGGAAGAGATTAATAACAATGCCTAGTATGACCATTAATCAGGGTACATCACCATGAATGGATCAAGACACACCTAACAGATTAGTGAGCACAGTTAGTTCTGGCGACTCTGAGAGTCTTTCCCCCTCCGATCCTGTAATCTGCAGAGCCACTGTGTACTCTCCCAGCTCTGACCCTGGCACCCAGGAAATCCCCTAGCATCATTAAACATAGATTTCCTATTGAGTCTGCTCCTCTAGAGAACCTAATATACTTAGTAATAATACAGAGCAATTGTAACAATATGCAGTAATAAAAGCTATGTGGCTAAGCCGCCCCCCCCCAATATCTCCCTGTATTGTTTATATAGAGCCCAGCACTATCCAAGATTTACTGAATGTAACTGCAATTGTGGAAAGCAGAACCTCAGAGAAGTGGGGACTACTTTAAGCCTTACTTTAACGTAAGAAAAGCCGGGGCCAGGATTTAGCTCAGTGGCACTGCACCTGCCTGGCAAGTACAAGGTCCTGAGTTTGATCGCTGGTACCAGAAAAAAAAGATAAGAAAAGGAGTACAGCTCTCGGGTAGAGCACTTGCTTGACATGTGTAAGGTCCTGGTCTCCATTTGAGCATAAAAAAAAAAAAGAGAGAGCAGAGAGCAGAGGTGTCGCCCCACTGAGGGCCCGCTCGAGCTCTGCCTTCCAGATTGACGGGGGGCGGCGGCCTCCGGGCGTGAGAGAGAACCGTTGCTGGTCTGAGTTGCTCTCCTCCAGGCTCCGCCGGGTGGTCGGCATGGCCCGTGGCAATCAACGAGAACTCGCCCAACAGAAGAATATGAAGAAAACCCAAGAAATTAGCAAGGGAAAAAGAAAAGAGGATAGCGTGACTACTTCTCAAAGAAAGCAGAAGGAGGGGCCGGGGATTTAGCTCCGTGGTTTCGCCGCCTGCTGCGCAAGCTCAAGGACCCGAGTTCGATCCCCGGTACAAAAAAAGAAAAAAAAAAAAAAAAAAAAAAAAAAGCACAGTGTGAAAGCAGAGGAACTCTGAGATCATGCAACAAAAGCAGAAGGCAGCTAATGAGAAGTCTATGCAAACAGGAGAAAAATAATGACCAGCTCTTGGAAACGTGGGTGCTACTGCCAACTGGTGCATCATAAGCTCCAAGATCAGGATTTCTTAGAATGAACAAGCATTACATGTGTTATAACTCATCCTCAAAACTGTTTACCTCAAACTTTGTTTTTCGGCCTTAGTGTAATGTTTTAGAACCATTCGTCAAAGAATAAAACATCATGCAATTTAAAAAAAAAAAAAGAAAGAAAATAGTTGTTTTATCAAGAGGTCTAGAGGCTGGGAGTGTCTGCATCCTTACTTTTTCCCTATTTCATCCTGGAGAAATGGCACAGGGAGGTGTGATGAGCACCTAAAGGCATTGTGCCCACTCTCTAATCCAGCTTCTTTCCACTCCAAAACACTACGGTTTCCAGGGGAAAAGAAGAAAAAGGGCCTTATGTTTTTCTGGTAAACGCTCCCTGTATTAAGCTCCAGGGAGGTGCTAGGGCAGAGACAGACCTCAGCCGGGAGGCAGTTCACTTAACTAAGGTAGAGGTAAACTCAATTACAACTCCACCTGCGGGAGGCAGTGGTCAAAGTCTATCAACCTGGCCACTTTGCCACTCACGGAGGGAAAAGAGCAGTGCCCTATTTACAGTTTGTGCCGGCCCCTTCTCTTTCTGCCACTTCTGGCTGTTTAACCAGATGGCAAGGACCACTAAAATGCACTTAAGGGAAAACTGCTGTCCAGAACATGAAGATTCTAGCCCATGTAGCTAGGGTACTTACCGGGCAGGCTGAGCAGCTGCTCGGTGTTTGCAGGGAAGTGACAATGATAAGATGACTATTGCCTGTGGGTCCTAACCCTGAGGAAAGGGTGGAGAGACTTCAGGGTACAGTCAGAGAGGAAGAGGCTGCAGGTGCACCTGCCTGTAGTCCCAGCTCTTCAGGAGGCTGGGGTGGGAGGATATGGAGCCCAGGAGTTCAAAACCAGCCTAACCCACCTAGCAAGACCCTATCTAAAAAAAAAAGGTTTTTTAAAGGAAAAGAATAGAAAGTATTATACTTTGTGATCTTATCATACAGTGAAATAATGCACAGCAATAAAGACTGAAGGAGCTCTCCATGTGTTGACAGGGAGCAAAGATCCCAAACTGATTTAAGTTATTACACAAAAGTATGGCATTCCATCATTTGTGTAGGAGAAAGAAAAACATCTCAGAGAATGTCTGGAAGGATAAAGATTCACAGCAATGGTTGCCTCTGGGCAGGAATGGGGGACTGGTAACAAACAGGATTAAAAAAAACCCAGACTTTCTTTTCCATGACCATCCTGTTGTCTTTTGCAGTGAACTTCACCCCAAGAGTGACAGTGAGGATTTAGGGGGCCAAAGAGAGCACTAGACCTCAGAGACTAAGACCCGCGTCTTTTGCAGGCTCTGTGACTTGGGGCCAATGGCCTCACCTTCCTGGGTCTCAGTTTCCTTAACTGAAAAAGAAGCCTATCGATATGATCGATGACTGAGGCTCTTGACCTGACATCCCCAGATCCTGCACTGCACGGTCCTTCCCTGAGCTCCAGCCCCTCTGAACTGGCTGATGTGTACGGTGTGTGTTGAACAGCACTATTCAAACGTGAGCCACACAGGTCATTTTAAATACTCCAGAAGACTCGAGACAAAAAGTAGAAACAGATGAAATTAGTTTTAATAGATTTTATTTAATGTAATATATCCAAAATATTATCATTTCAACATGGAATCAATATAAAATTATTTTCACCCCCACCCCCAATCCTATATAGGAGATTGAACCCAAAGCCTTCACTGAACTACATCCCGACCGAGCCTTTTTCTGTTTTTTATTTTGAGACAGGACCTTGCTAAGTTGCTAAGTTGCCCAGGGTAGGGTTAAACTTGCAATTCTCCTGCCTCAGCCTCCCAAAGTGCTGGGATTTCAGATGTGCACCACCACGCCTGGCTTCCATTCTTTTTCAGTATTTGGTCTCTGAATTCCTGTGTGTGTTTTACAGTGACAAAACACCTCAATTTGGACTAGCCACCTTTCAAATGCTCAAAAGTTACATTTGGCTATATTGGACAGGGCAGGTAAGTCTAACAAGAGAGTGCAGGTATAAGTCTACCTTCACTTTAGCTGCATTAAGCTCAGTGTTAAGAACCAAAATAAACACCAGGCTGCCTCTTTAGAAAGGGTCAAGGTCACAGCAGCAGAGTTCAGAGTTCTGGGTTCAGAGTCCCTCACCTGACTGGGCAGATAGCTGGGGCTGGGTACCAGACAGCCCTGAAAGGTCCAGGACAAACAGACCCTAAAGGCCTGTTAGCAGAACACAAGGGAACTTGAGAGAGAGAAGTGAGATGGGCATAATCAAATCTTTATGCTCAGGTTTTTAACAATGCAAACTCACCAAAAGCACAAGCACATGGCCTTCATATATCAGTTGGGTAAATCCACTGACTAACCCCTCTGAGCCCCTCTCACTCCCAGCTCCCAGCTGGGCACTGGGTACAGCTGGACCTGAGGTGAGTGATCACCCACAGGTGCTCTCCCTCAGGGCAGAACATGCTAAGCGCTTCCTAAGCACCATCTCATTCACTCACCCAAAAGTTCCCATGAGCTAAGAACTGTCAGATGACCCTGAGGCCAAGAAAGGTAAATCCCTTTCTAGCTCACGCACGCGCACATGCACGCACGCACGCACACATGCACACACGCATGCATGCACGAATGCACACACACATGCATGCACACACCACAGCAGAGCAGGATCTGAGCCTGACTAAATGCTGCCACAGCCTCACCCCACAGTGCACAGCATGGAAAGCAAGGAGGAATTCCATAACTACAAGGGTACCAGCGCAGGAGGGCTATGAAGCAGGGACCTGGATGAAGAAAGACTCAGGAGAGGATTCCCAGAGGCACCCCTTGAGCAAGTCCAGGACACTGAGGCAGAGTGGGAGCAAGGCCCTGAAGCAAGAAGGTGACTACTCAAGAGGTCGAGGGAGTGTGTGATTCAGGAAGTCCTGTCTGTCCAGCAGCTGAAGGCAGCGTACCCAAGGAAGAGGCCGCACAGCAAAGTGGAAGTGTGAGCCAAAACATGCACATAATGGGCTTTGGTTCCATGCAGAAGAATCCAGATTTTATACAGTGGCCATCAAACCATTACAGAATTTTCTCCAGTGTGGTGAATGGGACAGAATTTTCATTTTAAGAAATCCTAAATGAGCTGCACAAGTCCCACATAGTAAGACTCCAAATGAGACAGAGACAGAGAGAGAAAGAGAATAAAGTCATTCTAAAGGAGGACATCAAACCTTATCTGACTCTCTTCCTCTCCCCAGGGACCTAAGTTCTATTTAAATCCTATATAAAGTATAGATTTATTTTCTACAGAGTTGGACCATGTCCCAGGAATTCAGATTTAATTCCAAAGGCCTGTGAAGTTTTCTTTTTCTAAAATCTTGTTAACTCACAATCTCTGCAAACTGATCAGTGAACACACACCTCACATACTCTTGGTATCAGCACTGAATGGGGTCCCAGCACGTTGGATTGCTTGGCCTTTGGCTGAGAAGAGGCAAGCCTGGCAAGGAGTTTTCATGGTCCGGACAACCAGCAGTGCTTCCCTTTTACTTACACAGAGCATGTAAGAATCTTGTGGCTGGTGAGAAGAAACACTGAGCATTTCAACTCCTCAACCCCAGGACTCCAGCACTTCCTCCACAAGGTTTACTGTTCACTGCCTTAGAGCCCACATCTCGCTCTGACCAGCCCCCTTCCAGCTCACCTGATTACCCAGTTCCATTTTCAGCTCATCAGCCTCTGAGGCTGGCCTACTTTTCAAGGCCATAGGAGCAGAAAAACTTGGGCATTCTACAAACCACAGGACATATCTAGGACACAGGACATGGAGGTGGGGGCAGCCATGTTGTGCACCAAGGAGGTGAGGAAGCAGGCCACCTAGAGAAACAGCCATGGGGCAGTTTGTAGGGTGGGAGGGCAGAGCCGGCAGGAGAAAGAGTGGGCAGACACTGAGTGTAATAGAGCAGGCCTTGGCTACCAACACACTGGAAAACAGCTGAAGACCAAGCGGCTCCAAGTAAGATCAGTTTACCCACTGATAAGGGCTGAGCAGGCCCACTCCACTTACAGCAGTCACCTGAGTGGCTCCAAAAGCCTTTCCCATCTGAACAGTGAGAGCCTCGAGCACCGGGAGGGCTCACTTCTACAGTAGGACCGTGGGACAGTGGACTGACACATTAACTACACCAGATCTCTGAGAGGCGCATAGGAGAGAAGAAAGCAGCTGTCCCAGACTCTCTCTAGTTAAGGTACTGTCTTGTGGAACAACTGTCAGAAATAAATTTTTCAAGGCAGTGAGAGGTCAAGGGTTTTTGTGAACTTCCAGCTCTGCTAACACCTTAGCCCAAAAAGTCATCCCTTGCTTTGGCAAGAACATGGAATGTTTAAGGGACATTTCCCAGTTCCCATTTCCCTGTTCCCCAAACCCCTCCTTTCCGAGGGGCCTCTGGGTGTAGGAAGTGCTGCTCTGGACAGTTGTGCCCTACAGCCCCACTAAGCCAGCCACAGTGGGGCACAGCAGGGAGGGCGCTGCCACAGTGACGCACAGTTCACTTGCCTGGGTCAGCTTTTCCTAGGATGTGCTGGCCCTACTCCCACAGCAGCCCAGCTGGCAACAGGAGCCAGGCCTGCTACCCTGCTCCTGAGGTGCAGATGTGGAGTGAGAGGCCAAGGCACATGAGGAAGACCACTCAGTCACGGAGCCGGAGCTGGTAGAGATGAGCAAACATGGCCTTCCGGATCCGGTGCAAGAGCTGAGCCAGCTGATAGAGGAAGGGAAGGGAAGGAGGAGAAGCTGCAGAGAAAGGGGAAGACTGCTGTGAGTGTTCTTCCTTTGCTCTTTTTTCAGTACTGGGGGCTGAACCCAGGGAATGCTGAGTTCTGTCCCTAGCCCGTTTTATTTCAGGACAGGGTATTATCTAAGTCACTCAGGCTGGGTTTGAACTTCCAACCTTCCTGCCTCTGCCTCACAAGCAGCTGGGATTACAAGCCTGCACCACCAAACACAGCTCTCACTCCTCTCTTCTCTCAGCCCCATGGCTCAGTCCTCAGAAACTAATGCCTGGGGATTATGCACAGTGGTTTTAATGAACAAATTGGTGCTTTGTGTCATTTGAATCCTCCTCAATAAAAGGCATTTTCACTTTCTCTGGAATGTATTTTCTCAAGTTACAGTGATTTTTAAATTCACTGAGACTTTAATCCAGATTATATTTTCACTTAACTTTCTGATATACATGAAACTGGTAAAAGTGCCTGCCTCTAGGGAGAATTTTGGGGGACTTTCACTGCATTTTAAAAATCTTTCTATAACTTTTACACTTGGAAGGATTTAACAGGTCCCACCACTCCCGGCCCAGAGGAAGGGGCTTCTGAGCCGCTATCCCACTGCTCCTGGTCCAGAGGAAGGGGCTTCCTGGCCACCATCCCTACTGCCGCTCCCGGCCCCTGTCCCACCTCTCCCAGCTCAGAGGAGTTGAGCTGCCTGGGCGCCAACCGCAACCCCCCCTGCCTGGCCAGTTGAAATGAGAAAACATGTAGATAAGTCTCAAAACCAGACTTCCAGATCACCTACAGCAACCCCAAAGGGAAATGAGATGGAACACTCTGATA